CATTTTCCCATGGGTCCTGCATGTCTAGTTTATACAAAATATTGTCAAGCAGTCCAGGCAAGAGCAGTTTCTTGCCCAAATGACTAAAGAAAGCAAACTCCATATAGAGTTTCTTCAATGCTTATCATCTTCTCTGAAGTAGATTGGTGCTTCCAGGAGCAGACATGTCTCAATGTCCAGAAAAGTCAAAGTTCTTAAAACATTTCAAATGCCATATTCTGTAGGTCTTTGAAGTGTTTGATGATTACCTACCTAACTGAAATATATCTATGTATACCTAGAAAACTTAACTAATATGATTATAAGTTTGATTATCATAAATGACTAATTATTAATCTATATTTCTTAATTATATATTACAATTTTAAATGAATTGCATAAACATAATACCTTAAACAAGAGGAAAATTAAATAGACAGTATAACAAAATTAACTTTAAATTTGTATCAATAAACTAAAATCCATAGTAATGTGAAACATTTCAAACAAGTTGTTCTTTAAAAGTAGATTCAATAATCTACCCTCTCATCCTACCCTATTTCCTACATTTTTATATCATATTTCCCCTTCCTTCTTTTAGAAAGAGATTGACTGTGATCAATAACAAGTTGTAACCAAACCCCTAAACAAAGACAAACATTCATAATCCATTTTTTTGGGGAATATGAATGTAGTATTCTAGGCTACTTCCTACTGATTGGGGGTGATGTTAATCTTAAGGGGATCCTGAGAAAATTCAAGATAATGGTCAAGTCCTGAGAAGACTGGCTATAACCTTTGTTGATAGATACCATCTGTCAAGGTTCAGGAGGTCTCGCTTGATCAAATCTGATCCATCTTAACGTGGAACATATCCACAGCCTCTTGCTTCCTGTGGAAACAAAAGCAGAGCTTCCTTTCCAAAGCAACATATCCTTAGATCCAAATTTTGAAGTCAGGATACCTTTAAAATATGCATGCTTGTTTAACTTAGTAGCCCTTACAACCAAATGTCTCTCTGCAGTTAAAAATCCCAAAGACAACCCAATCCAGACTTGCTGTGTAATTTCCATCTTTATGTGGCTTATTATATTTTTATATATTATTTTATTTTTTAAGACCTTATTTTATTTTTATGACTATCTATATCCTTTCTCTTCTCTCTTTCTCAAGCCTATGTGCCTTTTTACATACACTGTAAACTGTTTAGAGTTTTGTTCCATCTGAATCTTTCTTATTGTGAATCTATAATCCTTCTCTGGCCAGGAGAGATTTTAAACCGCTAAGCTATGTGGCTAGGACCAACGCAACAGCCTTGGCTGCTGACCTCGCCTCTCTCAACTTTTTAACATGGTGGAGGTATGCTTACCACCAGCTCTGGGAGCCATGCTCATCACCAACTCTGGGAAGCAGTGGGTCTATGCCTCCATCAAGCACTGTTTAGCCCAGAAACACACACACCCTTTTGTTTTTTTTGTACTAGCAAAAGCTAAATTCACCACACAGTGCACTGAGCGGCTTGGAGACACACTTCTGTGTACTGTGGCAGGGATCCACCGTGCTGTGTTCAAGCTTGAATGCCAGAGTGTCTCTCTGTACCACAGCCCCTATGAGAAATATGAACTAGGAAGCTGCTCTTAGCTCTGTTTTAGTAAGTTCTCTCAGGTTTTAGGTGGAAACTCTTGCCATCACATTTGGGCACCATTTGTAATTGGAAGTTTTCTTGTGTCCCGCCTGGTTCGGCAGCTGCTCAGTCCCAAGTAAACACACAGAGGCTTATATTAGTTATAAACTGTGTGGCCTATGGTTTCAGCTTCTTGCTATCTAGCTCTTTCATCTTAAATTAACTCATTCCTATGCATCGATATGTTGCCACATGGCTGTGGCATTACCAGTCTGCTGGCGTCTTGTTGCCCCTTTGGTGGTGGCTGGTATCTCCCACTTCCACTTTTCTTCCTTCTATATCTCTGCTTAGATTTCCCACCTGGCTGTAAGCTTTCTTGCCACAGGCCAAAACAGCTTTGTTTATTACCCAATGGAAGACACACATATTTACAGCATACGGAAAGACATCCCACAGCATGTAGCCATGTGACAAGATATATGTATATAAAGATATGCAGCTATGTGCAACAGGGTGGAGATATGAAGCTGTGTGGAGACAGAAAGAGTCAGAGACCATTCTTAAGATGAAGTAAAAGAGAAAGTTAACATCAGAAAGCATGTGTGTTTCCTTATTTCACCAGTTATAGATAGATTAAAACTTATTCCTGGGGCTGGAGAGGTGGCTAAGAGCACTGGCTGCTCTTCCAGAGGACATGGGTTCAATTCCCAACACCTACATGGCAGCCCACAACTCTCTGTGACTCCACTTCCAGGGGATCTGAAACCTTCACTCCATTGCACAAAAAACAAAATTAAAAATAAAAATAAAGAACTTATTCCTAATTACCCTCAGATAAAAAAGTTTTCTCTCCCTTGCTACTCTGAAGCATTCCTTTTATTACCCTGAGCTGATTGTGGGAGCTGGTCTCCCATGGTCCGCATTATTAACCGACTTCCAGGGAAGAGAACAACATTTTTTAGCCTCCAGTGTATTCACAAACTAAATTGCATACTTTAACTTTGTCAGTTAAAATGCCAAAACTGCCACTTATATTTTTCCTCTCTCCTAGCACTTCCAAATACAATGAAATGGATCTTATATTAAATCCATAGGAAGTGCTGGGAGAGGGAGGAACCTATGATGAAAATCTATTTCATTTTAATTAACAGGGCTATATAAAAGCTTGTGTTTTCTTATTTGATTTGTACATGTCCATATAAAAGGTACAACATTATACTGATGGATATTTGTTGAAATAAGAAGTCAGAGCACTATTGAGGCCTGTGTAATTCTGATAAAGAAACTACATAATGGCATCCAAGCAACTTTCCCTTACACACAGGAAAGATGTTTCTGACTTAAAATTTTAGGGGTGGACTCATTCCAATGGCAATTAAATATGCAGGGTAGACATGGAGTGGTTTATCAAAGGGGAAGGAACCAGAGGGATTTTAAGATGTTTTATGAACATCCCTGACCACATGTGACTTGTGAGCTCTTGAAATACACTTCAAATTGAAATGGACTTTAAATGTAATGCACACATCAGATTCAAAGAATTAATAAAAACAATGTAAATTTCCTTACAAATCATTACTTTACAGTGATTACATTTTGGATTAAATTATGAAAGTGAATTTTGTCTGTTCTTATACTTTGTAACTACTAGACAAAGTTTAATTAATGACATGTACACAGTGCCTTATACTACATTTCCACTGCATTAATGCCACCTGAGATGGATGAGTTATATAGGATTTAAGGTACCCTGGATAATGAATAGTACAAAAATGGTCATGAACAAGGGCTTAGAAGTTTTATTTCTAGTATTCAAAAATGAAAACTATTGGGTTTTGAAATTTCAGTCTTTGGTTTTCTGAATTTTAACTAATTTCATAAGTGAAGGAGCCAAACCTAACATATTCAGTAGTATTTGTTCTACAAAATATACGTAACAAGTATTTACTTTCAGCTAGGCGTGGTGCCTAAAATCCCAGCACCTAGAGGAGTGAGGCAGCTCGTTCATTGTGAGTTTGAAGCTAGCCTGGGCTACATAGTGATTTCCAGACTACTCCAGGCCATGTAGCAAGATCCTGTTTCAAATTCCAGAGTGAATAAGGGGAGGACCTAATTCTCATGTCATTTTTGCCTCATGAACTGAGCAAGCCCTAACCAGGCAGACTGATGGGTAGCAGCCATTGTTAACATTATTTTTAGCTCTAGGTTCACTTTCAAGGGAGGGTAGAGCTCTTGGAAGCCCAGGTATCCCCTGACTGATATAGAAATGATAGGATGAAAGGGTAGATTAATGAACTTACTTTTAGAGAACAACAACTTGTTTAGAAATGTTTTACATTGCTATAGATTTTTAGTTTATTGATACAAATTTAGAGTTGATTTTGTTTTACTGTATATATATTTCTACTCTCATTTGAGGTATTATGTTTATGTAACTCTTTAGATTGTGATGGATAATTAAGAAATACAGATTAACAATTAGTCTTCTATGATAGTCAAATTATAGTCATGTTAAGTTTTCTAGGAATACATAGATATAATTCAATTAGGTAGGTAATCTTCAAATACTTCAAAGA